GTATAATAGTGATGAGTTTTATTTTATGCTAAATGTGTGGATACATAAAATAATTATCTCATTCTTTGTAATTCTTGTAATGCTGTTATGCATATTTTATTATTAATACAATATATTGAATTGGATACATGTATAATAACTGATAACTATAAAAGAGTGTCAACTTTTCCCCGAGCATTTTCATACCGACTTTATATTGAATGTATTTAGGATCTGAATGTCCTTAATCCCTAACGTCATGCACAAATTTAATTGCAACAAAACTTGTGTCATATATTGCAGTTATAATATGTTGTTAGAACCTTCTGCTTTTTTAATAAGCTGAGAAGTCCCTATTTTAAATAACCTAGTTAAAAATTATTTCATAGCTCTTTAATGCAAAATGGAGTGAAACGTTCACCCTATTGTAGTTAATATTCACTCTGTTGGAGCAAATATTCCCTCCAATAGGGTGAACGTTTTACTTCATGGAAGTAGTTTTACTCCAAAAATTTTAGAGAGTAGTAGCACAGTGTATTGGCCGAACATTGGCCCAGTGTCGGTTATATTAGAAATGCATTGAGCGATATTGTCCAACGTAAAGCCAACATTAGCCATGGAATAAATATAAATATTGCACAATAATAATTGTATAATATTATCCCTGGCGAAAATTTTAAATGAGAGACGATGTTTATATTTATTTATGAAGAGTTTTATCGATAGTTGCATTGTTTATGAAGAGTTTGATTGATGGTTACACCGTTTGAAAGTACGTTGCAAACACCTGGTTAATTCTTTATTGACAATAACATTTTACAAACACTTAGAAAACTATAATGGAAACGTTTGTCATTGTATCATCAAACGCCATTTAAACATTTGTAACCGTGAACATGTCATAAACAACTCCACGTTTAAATTTATATCTCACAAACAATTTAATAAATGTTTTAAAACTCAAATAAAACAATGCCTCAACATTTAAACAAACTTCTTATAAACATATTATTTGCGCCAGGGATATTTATATTGGAAGTGCATTGGTCAATGTTTAACAATGTATTAAGAATATCTGCTTAAAATTGATACAATATTAGACCAATATTGCTGAATAGACACATTTGATATGAGATTGATTACGAGAAATAAAATGTGAACGATTCCTTTTTACATTTGGTAGAAAATTCGGCAGTACTGAAGGATACTGTTATGTATCTTTGATCGTAGAATGTTTAGTCTCTCTTTTTCGTACATATAAAAAGTTTATTTCATTGCCGCAACTTTTCATGGTATCTGTCTTGCAATATCGGAGTTTACTACATACGGCAATGTCTACTATCACTAAGTGGGGTGAAAGCATTTCTTGTATAATATGTGGTTGATATTTTGTTGCGATTGAATATTGTTTCACTAGAACTGGCTGAAATTTTTCAATATTATAGGAGGAAAACTACCTTCCTCTAATATTAGCTAGAGAACTAAATTCGATCTTTTCCCGCGGCGCAAAAAATAATGCACTGTCTTATCGACAGATGGCGACACGCGTTGGACTCGTCAGCTGATCGCGTGCAGTTGCACCGGATAAGTTTTCTGCTGTTCGCAGAAAGGACGCTTGACTGAAGGATTACTTTTAATACTTCGAGCATTGAATAACTGTGTCACACGAGGATATTTCGGGATGGAGCCGCAGGATATTTATTACAACAAAGCCGAATACGTTGAAACGGTAATGGTTACTTAACCGATACTGGAACGTGCAGCGTTATTGAAACGTTTCCCAAATATCTAGAATTGGCAAGAAATATTATATTGATGCGTTAAAAGACGCATGCCCCAGCAACAGCTTGACAAATTTGTTCGTTTAACGATGCTTCTCTCGTCCAGACATTGAAAACGCGAAACATAACCTCACTGTTTGGTTTCCTCAGGCCTCCGGAAATAAAGTGAGCAGACTAACCGTGTTGTGCGGCTCGCAAAACATTGTACTGCACGGAAAGGTAATAGTGCAATCTGACGCGATCATTAGAGGCGATTTGGCCAACGTCAGGACCGGTCGCTATTGTATCATCAGCAAAAATGCCGTCATTCGGCCACCTTTCAAGAAGTTCAGCAGAGGGTAAGTCACGTTCTTTTATTAGATTGACGTACATTGCGTTGATGTACACGCACCGGCATAAATGCTGTCCCTATCCTTGTGAGGTGCACGCACACAACTAGAGTCCCTGTAGTTGTGTGCGTGCACCTCACAAGGATAGGGACAGCATTTATGCCGGTGCGTGTACACCGATAGAGCTTCTTCTTTCACCGGAAAGGAAGAGAATCGATATAGAGTTCCGACTTCTGACTAACAACTCATTGTAGACTGGGCCTTAATCTTTCTATAAAAGTTTGAGGTCGCCAGCTGATATCGTGGCACAGTTTACAAGCAAGACACTCTAGTACAATTATGCTTAAGTTCCGAATTGTAAAGTGACATGAATTCCAATTAGGGTTGCCTTTTTTCCTCTGACAATGGGGAATCACGTGTTTGTGGGAGAGCGGGCAGTTGTGAATGCAGCGTTGGTTGGTTCTTACGTTTACATTGGGAAGAATGCAATAATCGTATGTATAACGACTTTTGATACAATTAATTGGAGAAGATGCCGTTTCTTGGCCAGGCTGGATCTCTAGCGGTCCAATAAGAATATTTCTATGCGAATTGTTTGATTTTCCTCAAAGCCAATTGTGCGCCAATTATGTGTCGGTTTCAAAACTTTGTTGCAACAAATCCGCATGCTTGAAATCAACTGATTAATTTAACTTTGGACGCTCACGGGCATCATATTAAAATCACTGTAAAGAATACATTGTCATAAAAATGTCGCCTCGATCAGGATTCGAACTTGAAACCTTTTTACGATCAGCGACGAGCGTCTCTTCGAGCAATTCGATCACTGAGGCGTGTAACTTTTATTCGACACGTTGGGCGAGTACAAGCGCAGCGCCTTCACAATCAATCGTACTTGTCATTTGCCATAGGGCAGGCGATCCGTTTTGAAAGACTGCTGCTACATCGAGGACGGCGCAGTCGTGCCACCCGAGACTATCGTGCCGTCCTTCACTCGATTTGCCGGCAGCCCGGCGACGTGTGTCGAAGAGCTACCCGAGTGCACGCTGGATCTCATGGTAGACTTTACGAAGAATTATTACGAGCACTTCTTACCGGCGCGCGTGTAATGCTCGATATGTATTTGTTCATTTGTACACGTCAATGGTTTATAGTCAAAAGGTCTATTGTCAACTGCATTACACAATATTTGTGCTCTGTACTCAAGTTGAAATGAATTATAATGAAGTATTATCCATGCGCGACAGAAAGCAATCGTCGGGAAATAAGGGAGCTGCAACTGAATACAACCGAAAAGAATACATCTAAGATCAGCATGGATTTTTTAGAATCAATGTATATACGCTCAGTCCAAAAAAAAGCGGTACACCTAAAATTTGTCAAAAAATCATCAAATTTCGAATGACGATAACTACGCAAGTAATAATGGCAGAAAGGTTTCTCAAGAAAGAAATTGAAGCTCGAAATCTCTACTACATGCGAAATTGAAAAATTGTCACCCGAGTTTGCGACGATCCATGGCGAGAGGCAAGTGTTGCAACTTAATGGGATAAAAAGCATGCGATAGTGCAGTCTCCCCTTCAAAATGCCTTTTTTTACTCGTTTCGATACGATGATGTTTCGCTGAGATATGTGCATTTAAAGTAAAAACCGGCCTTTTTATTCAAAATTCATAAGGCTCTAATGTGGAAACACAAATACGAAGTAATAAAGGAGTAAGAGCCAAGATAGGATGTTAATGTTTAAATAATTTTTCAAAATGAATGATGGAGATCATTATGTAAAAATGCTCTATAACGCTGTATCTCTAATCAATTATACAACACTGCGGAGCGAGAGAGAGAAAGCAAAGAGAAGAAAGAGCTAAAGAGCCTGTAGAAAATTTTGTTTACAGAATAACCTTAAAATCGCGTCTGACTTTGACTATAAATTATTGTAAAATTTATTTATTGCAAGATTTATTTTTGTACTATTGTGCTAGGCAACTAATCTTAAAATTATATAATGTAAGAAAGAGAACCCGTAATATATTAATCACATTGTATGCATTTAATTTACAATCAACCCAGGTAGCACATATTGGTTTCATATACGTTTTTTAAACGTATATATAGTTTCATAACCGTAAAGAACCATTGAGAAACGTTCGAACGGAAACGTTTTTGAAACCATGATTTAAGAAACGTATTTTTTACGTTTCTACAGTTAATCTTTCAATAGGTATGCGTATGTGGGTGTATTTTACACTTCAGGCTTCTTCTTTTCCTAGATTTCACATAGAAGCAAATTTTTTGTGCTTCCTTCTTTAGCATTATTGAAAAACTATTAAAATTAAAATTTCAACCTATTTATAAAATATTTATTTTGTGTAGCACGTGTTGATTTTTATACGTTTCATACACGTTTACTAAACATTAGATACGTTTAAGAAACATATATGAAACCTAATATAATAACATAAGAGACATATATGAACCATCACATACTACCTGGATTATGCCCGATAGGGTGGAGTTAGGAATGCCCTAATAAGGAATCCCTGACATGTGCCTGATCCGGTACGCCTGATTCCCTCATAGAATTTGATAGACGTTAACCTGAATATATAGCATAAGTACCACTCACTGCCGCGGCGTGGCGACCGCGCGTTAGTCTTTCTCATAAGTAAAAATCATTCCGTATTAGTATAAGAGGCGAGCCGATATGATGCGACAGCGAGTTAGTCTGGGATCGAGAAAGTAGACGTCCAATGGACATCCACTGAATGTCCATGTGCTATCTGGGTGTAGCACATGTTGGTTTTTATACGTTTCTTAAACATTTATTAAACATTAAAAAATTTATTAAACATTAAAACGTTTAGGAATCATATATGAAACGTGCTACCTGGGATATGTCTCAAAAGCGTTATAAACATGACGAAAAGATGTTTACAACAGAAATTATAAAGAAGTAGGAATTAAAAAATTTTCCCTTTAGCTTTAAAAAACGTTTCTATAATGGTTTCATAAACGTTATTTTATCGGAAAAGAAACGTTTCATCTAACGTTTTTCCGAATGGACATTTTAACTCATGAGAAACGTTTCTAAAAATCGGTTATAAAACGGTTCGGAAAAACGCTTCTAAAACGTTTTTGAAACGTATATGTGCTACTTGGGAATCTATTTCACGCAGTGTTTGTACGCGAAAGAAGGTTGTTGAAACCTCATTAAAGACACAGAAATAGATACATATATTTCCTAATGGTAATTATTTTACATTGCATTAAATTATGACACATCGACCACTGTTCGCCCTTACTAAAAGACACAAACTTCCAACAGAATGATAACATATCTGTAACAAAGTTTTTAATAAAGTTAAATTTAGTGCAGAGAATTCAGGAAAGTCAGTAGCCTCTTGGTTTCTGCTGGACTAATATATATTTCTGCAGACATTTAATCAAGGTACTCTATATCGTTGGTTTCTTGCATCGCATGCATGGTTTGTCTGCAAAAGAAAATATAACAAATAACGCTAAGCATGGTAGCGAGGCCTCTTTTCAATCTTACTTCTTATGCCACAACAGCTCGAGCGCAAGTATGATTAGAGCGAAGAGTATTCCGTAGCCCATTATGACCAACGCGAAGTAGCATTCCGTCAAACCGATAGTGATAAAGCTGGTCTGACTCGAACACACTGGTTTCCTCGTATACAGGCGATACTCTTCGTGATATTTAAGTCCGTATTCTCGTAATTTTAAAGCTCTGAAAACAATTATTGAGTGTTGAATGTTTTGAAAATTATATCACGACTTAGTTATCAACTCGTGCGTGCGTTCTTAAAAATAACACATTAATAAAATCTGTTTTTAAAGCTACGCTCATGTTTTTACGTTAGACTTTAAATTTGCAAAAAGTTTTATGTCGAAATTTTAAGTCGCGATTACTCTCAGCAAACAACTAACAGTTATATGTATATTTGTCTTCCTCTAATGCAATATAATCTCACTTCAAGATTTTCATGTTGAAACTAAACATATTTTCAAAAGAAGAGTATTTTTTTCGGTGTGTGTCCACGTGAAGATAATTCGATTACTATTTACCCAATTTTTATTATCTCTGAGTAAGGCGATTGCTTTTGTATTGCGAGCAGCGGATACAAGACCTTTAGGAAATCGATCTCCGTCAAACCACACTTCTCCTCCTCCAAATATGTGTCTTGCATCAATTGGTACATTGTACCGATCTCGCCTTGGAATGCAAAGAGTTCGTTTTTTATGCGTCGTACACCGTCTTCTATGGGCATCCAATTAGATTTGCGTCCTTTCGGCTCGATTCGGTGCTCGACAATTGCCTTCCTAACGGGGTCTTGAAACGCCTATAAAGAACTCATTTATTTCTCGCAATGATCTCTTACCACCGATAACTTTGACACCGCAATGAGTCGAGATACTTTATAATAAATTACATACATATAATACATATTTTAATATTTTTCATTTCCATAGTTTCGGTCTACCTTAAAATAATGTCTGTTGTACACTACGTCCTGCGCGCCCAACTTTAAAGGACTATGTAGGAGACCCGGAAGAGTTTTAATAGAATCCGTGGTAGACTGCAGCAAACCCACGATATTCGCTGTATAAGCCGCATAGAGACTCAGCGAGGTTAGCAGTAACATAAAAGTTACGATTCGAGGCGAAACTCTGAAGGGCTCGTACGAATATCCTGCGAAAGTACAAAAATTTCATAACTTTTTCATCTTATCTAGAATTAGAATTATACCTTATGCGTAACGAAATGAAAATAATTTAATTCGTATGTTTGTAAAGTGGTAAATGTTTATACGCGTTCGGAAAGGTCTCAGAATTTTTTCAGTAAAAAATTAAAGTCTATAGTTTTCTTATCAACCGTTTCTCTACCTTGCTGAGCAAATGCGCCTAAGAGAATGAGAAGATAATCGCTGACCGTTGGCTCACTGGGATTCAATTGATTCCAGTAGGCTGCAGATTTTGCCATCCTGGTATTAGAATATTCCCATTTGATGGATAAGTAGAGCAAACAGAAGACCAGAAAGAGAAACACGGCTATCGCCATCCAGACGTGTCGTTGAAAGGGCAGGGTGAATATGTTGCTGACGCTCGACAGCAAAGGTCGCCGAAATACGAAGCGCGAACTGTGTAGATTTGTACATAAAGTATCGATAACGATATTATAAAAGAGTTACGATGAAAAGCTAAAATTTAATAATCTTATTAGTCAAGTTCACTTTTGAACGTTAAATTATAAATCTTAACTAAAATTTTAATTACTTCTCACTTCTCCTTAATATTGCTTTTATAAAGACATAAAGAATCAAAAACTACTTTTTTTTAGTTATTTCTTTACACCGAAGATGACCCGGAGTGGATCGAAACGTTTGTATTTTACGTTTCTATTAAATTGTCCATGACTGTTTTAAAGACTACGCCTCGTTACCTGCGCACCGCTCGCTTTCCTACCCTTCACTTGTTTGAAAAAAACTGCGTTTCAGTTTAATAAATAATCCTTTTACCTAGTATGCGTATACAATTGGATGTATTGCACAACGCCGATACGTTCCGGCACGAGAAATGTGGCGGTGCCGCCGATGTCGATCTCGCGTCGTTCCAACATCCCGATCATTCCGCTCCAAGAACCGTTCTGATCGCGATATCCCCAGCTGTTCGTTTCTGCGAAACTTACCCTGTCGTGTAAAGCAAGAGTACTCTTGAGCTGGCGTTTAGCGCAACATACGTGTATTCCACGACCCGGAATTCGTTGTGTCGTATCTCGTTTCCATGAACAAAAGCAATAAACTGCCTCTCAATTAATAATTATCTCAAATTACATTAAGGGAATATGTATAGATCGGAGTAAAAAAAATATAGAACATATATAACTGAGACGATGAAAACATCGCTTTAGCTTTAATGAAATATTTTTGTGCGTGTATTTCTATTGATATCGATCGTATTGATAAGCAAATAATTAAAGAATTATGTCATAATGTTTATGAATCTCGAATTTTCGAAGCAGCGGAATAGAGATGATAATTACGCAATTTTTGTCTGATAATTAATAAGTGTGTCATGCGCTTATTTGATTATACAAGTCACTCCATTCAAGCATCTGATCGTGCACCGTTGCCCGGTTAAAAACAATTTATCACATTTTTGACATATGTACTGTAATCGCCTGATCACTTTACTGCGGCCTCGTTAATTAGCCTTGAGCTCAAATTTATTACGTCGTTTTGAAGCTTGCACTCGCGATTCTAGAATTGGCAAGGTAATTCGTTACAAATTATCGCCGCGCGTTGAACTTTTTTTTTTCATGAACATCCTAATGAAGTATTTTGACGTTGACGCGGTATCGTCGAAAGTTGAACTCACGTTGCATTCATCCGATTCACTAAATGCAATATCCAAGGATAATTAGCCTTTGTAACGGGATCGATGGCTTTATCCTCGAAGTCCGTCAGATGATTCTTCGTATTGGGGTCCGTCATCTACAATTGCAAGAAATCGTGAAAATGATATATCCTCTTTGTTAAAGAAATTCTTAAAATCGCGGCTAAATCACAGGCATTTTTGATATTTTGTTACGATAGCAATTGATATTTTACTCGCTCTGCTTTTCATCTAATATAGCCACTTTACATGTTACACACATGTCGCGTTAGCTTGCAAATAAAATGCTTTGGCAACGTCCCGGTGAGTACATTTTCTCGCATGATAGACGATTTATAATACGTTTGTTCAAAGTACCACGAGACAAGATTTGAGAGCCGTCTGTTGGAGATCTCGTCTTCGTGCTGAAGCCACATCGTGAGTCCTCATTTGTAGACCGCTCTCGGTCGTCCAATTTCCACGATTTTCCCATATCACACCTCGCTGTGGACTTGGTCGATATACGGACAACAATTCGAGAAAGTCACCGTCGAATCTTCGCGCGAGGATCACATCGCTGTCAGGATAGATCGCCAAATTGCCCAAGATTTTCAACCAAGAGTCATCATTTGTAACGGTTAAATTGGCATTATTGTCGTTATCAATAATCGTTTTTCGATCTTGCAAGAGCAGCCACTTCATTGGGGCGACGAACATCCTGTTCGAATGTGCCTGTCATTTCATATCGGATATCAATCACAATAAATTAGAAGATTGATATAAAACGTAACGACGACGAAATTGTTTGCGAGTCTCGTCAGTCAAAGTGTCAGCGAAATGTATGAAGAAAGCTCTTTTTATTTTCTTAATTGTCTTATTTCGAGATTTATCAGCAACACTTTTATCCGCTTGTTCTTTTATTTCTAACATACTTAAGCATAATTACCAAATGTTACCTCTTGTAAAACATCGATGGCATAATCGCAATCCATATCCAACACATGCAGGTTCTGATTCTAAATTATTGTAAATCTTCGGATCGAGCTTCTCATAGACGTTACGAATATTATGCGACAAGTAGTTCTTTGACAATATTCTCGATAATTTGATCGTGTCATCTGCGATAGAATATACTTAATTCGACTTTGAAACCTTTTATGCGTTATCTTTATTAATAAGTAAAGATAGATTTGCATTATATATATATTTTTATTATCTTTATTAAGAAACAGAGATAGGTGTTAGTACTAATTTATTCTGCACGGAATGAAAATTAGCTCGATTATATGTTAAACAAATATAAGTAAATCAGCGAGTAAAAGGGGCTAAGAGCCTTGACGAGGTGTTAGTGTCAAAAGGGTAAAAATCTTGTTTATTAAAACATAAAAATTACAGACGTTTTGGTCTTTCTTTAGACCATCCTCAGTGTATAAATAGAAAAGAAAAAGAGTAAAAGGAAATAATTTAAATGTAAAAGTCAATGATTAAGATTCGCTCGCAACGCAATACATAAGAAAGATGTAAAATGTAAGCCGTACTCAGATCTATTACGACTGCCAATCGGGAGGTCATCTTTTCGTCGAGATATAAGTTTTGGAGTCGACATTTACCAGCTTGATAACTCCAAAACTTATATCTCGACGAAAAGATGACCTCCCGATTGGCAGTCGTAACGAATCCGAATACGGCTTACATTTTACATTTTACATCTTTCTCATGTATTGCGTTGCGAGCGAATTTTAATCATTGACTTTTACATTTGAATTATTTCCTTTTACTCTTTTTCTTTTCTATTTATACACTGAGGATGGTCTAAAGAAAGACCGAAACGTCTGTAATTTTTATGTTTCAATAAACAAAACTTTTACCTTTTTGACACTAACACCTAGTCAAGGCTCTTAGCCCCTTTTACACATTTTTACTCTTCAGAGCCGTATTCTCTTATTAAGCAAATATGTTTAACAAGAATACACGGGAAAATTCTTTAAAAGATAGACCAAACTGGCATAAAAAGTGATATATATTTAAGTCACAACGTTTCGACCTCTTTATCGGGTCCTTTTCAAGTACAATCTGGAAACAAATTTCAAAAGTACAAACCGTAATACAAAGAAAGGTACTTTCAGTACATAAGTATGTGTTACAAAGGAGAAAAAGTACCTAATGTTGACTGAACAAATTAATTTTATGCCGAAACAGAATGAGTCCCTGAGTCTGTGGCAGCAAATTCATAATGTCATATCTGGAATTATTACGCGTACAAATAAATAAATAAATAAATAGGTAAATAGTGAAATCAAATGTAACAACATTGATTTATACATATGATATATTAAATTGTCAGCCTGTATGCTCGTAAATCTTAGCCTCCTTATTTGCTTGTTGCTTGTTAAGAATAGTTTAAACAAAATAAATGCGTAAATTAATGATATTTATTTTAACAAGTTCGTGTATCAGTTTAAACTTTGTATCAGTGGTTCAGACTTTGATCGAATCTTCTTTTCTCGCATTGTGACTTAATATAGAAAAGCATTGTCTACTTGCTCCGTTGGCATATTCTCATTTTTTTTACAGTTAGTTACAGCTAATCGTTGCCAAAAATGTTGTTCGAACGTTCTTTTCTTTCCGATAAACGATCCATACAGAAATCATGAATACGAAAATCTTGCCTTGGCTGGTGCATAGTTGAAAAAATAGTCTTGAAGGTGAAAATAGAGCGGGCGTCGCGTCGACGATAAATCTTACGATAACGTTGTCGACGCGAGATGACGCAATCACGTCATTGCCGAGTGACAATGCGAGGATGCACAGGACGAAGAGGATCATCCTGATCGCACTTGCCTCCGGTGGGCGACTGCGAAGATTCTTCGAGATCGCGGAGAGAATCGATTATTCGTGCACCATTTATATTATACCATGGTCTCTCCATGATTACATAGCGATTCGCGTAATCACGCATATTGTAGAGCCGTGAATCCGCGAGGAGACGACGGGCAATCGAGATAACGAGCGTTATTACGACTGGTGAAATATTCAAGACACACGATAGACGCTGGTTAACATATGTCAATAGATTATATACTTGGCGGGTGCTTCCCGAGACACGATTTCGCCAGCCTTCCTCGTTCTCACAAATGCTTTTTCATCCCTCCGAATGCGCTATTTGAAATGATAATGGCAGCGTAAAGCATTATAAGCCTGAAAGAAAAGCAGCTAGAAGACCTAGTTTCAATGTCGCATGTACGACTTTCGAAGGATTATCTTGCCCGTTCTCTTATCGTGAAACAAAGATTTGCACTCTCCGCATCTCCCGCGCACATGTTCAACGCATGTGTCGTGCCTCGGTGTTTAACGGTGAATATGATATCGTCGATATCAAACAAATTTATTTCACATTAGGCTAAACGTTGCTATTTCACTCAAATGGTGATGCTTAAATATGGTGCCAGGAAAAGAACAAATTTTTGTTAGGAAAGTATTATTTTTTTCATATTCGGTTTTATTCGTGTACATTTTATTTAACTTAACTACCAATATGCTAAGCGTAATGGCAGGATAATACACACAGAAGAATATTATTGCACAGTCAAGAAAAGTAATTACTCAGTTTATTTTATTCCATTTAAGTTTGCTCCAACAAAGAATATTTTCTTAATAATAGTTTTAAGATATACTTGTTACTAGTCTTAGAAAAGCGTGCTATCTTATACTCGAAGAAAGAATTTATTCTTCTTTAAAGAAAATTATAAAACTTATTGAAGAATTCCGTATCTTTTAATAAAATCAGAAGAAACAAAATTGTTTTGCTTCAAACAATTCTGTGTATTCTTGTTTCAAGCACTAGACTTACTAAGAACCAGAATATGTTTTGAGCAAAATAACACTTGTGTGACGACATTATGATAGATTTGCGGGTATATAAACTTATCAAATACTTGGAACAAATAATATTTATTTGCAGATAGTATATATTTTTCTGTGTGTAGTTGTGTAATAATATACATAATGTAATAATTGTGATAATTACTGAATGCAACATAAATTATAATGTTTAACGTTTATATAACTTAAAACAACAATGTTATATTGTTTGTTAAGTTTCTATACTGAAAAAAATTTCTGGTTGAATATGGACGAATCAGATAATTCCTTTAGGATTTACCAGAATTCCTTTAGAATTTACCAGAATTTCTGTAGGATTACAGGAATTCTGGTAAATCCTAAAGGAATTATCTGATTCGTCCATATTCAACCAGAAATTTTTTTCAGTGTAGGATTAGGATTTCCGTGTGGAATATTGTAATTATAGAAATAATTTTTGCAAATTCTCCCAAAGTTTAAAAGAAAGGGCACGAAACAAATAAATATTTATCTATTTATTTATTTTTTTTTACGTTCGATAAAACTTTTCCGCAATACACGACGCTTTACAGTAAGAATTTCCATTTGTAGGACCAAAGTCTTTGTAAATATCCCGTCGTCGGAGACATTCAACAGAAAGCTCGTCCGCGATGAACGTGCAAAACGACAATTGCTGTCTTAGTTTTAGTCAATGTGTACACATGTGCTACGCTACAACGCGATAGCATCAAGCGATAAGACTCGATACTCATATAATCGGTTCTGAAAACTTCCGTCCCATGTGCATCCAGCATGGTCGTTGATTTTATTCTTCCACGTATCGAGCTCCCGCCGTTAATGATGAAGCTCATTCTTCAAATGCGCGTCACTGCACGCGCACGAATCGCGTAGGTACGTTTATACACCTGCGTTTGCGTATATCTTTCGAAAGCAAGGCAAACAGTCGCATGTTAATCGTCATCGAAATTTACATGTTAATTAAGCGCGTTCTGAAAGAAAAAAATTATGTTTAACGGGATTTCGACAGTGGGCCATAAGTTGACGCGCGCTCTTGCATACGATAGTCATTATAAATTCTCAATCAACGAGAGAAAACACGCGCCGGAGAGAAAACTCTTCACTTTTCCCAGACATTTCACCCGTATGCGAAATCGTGCCTGCCGAGAAGATCGCGCGGCGTCTCCGCAATTAAGGCGAAGCGCGTAATCGGCGCAGCGAATCGTCGCGCGATCAGACAACAATCACGTTGCAGTATTTCACATGGACAAGAGATGATTGCGCAACAATTCGATTCGTAAACATAGAATTGAATCTCTTTAAAGGGAATTACATCGCGCGTCCTAAGATTTGCATTTTTGTGCCCTTCTTTGAGCTTGACAAGTAAATAAAAAGATACATAAAAAGCGGACAAATGACAGACGTGTAGGAAAGAATTAGGGATATCGTTACGGTTCCTTGACGAGCTCAAACAGCGGCTGTACTGTTCTTCAGGCACACGAAAGTTCCTCGGACGATAAAATCTTTGTAATAAAGTTTCTCGGTTAATAGAAGTCCGTTATTGTGCCGCATTATGTATTTGTTAAAATAAATTGTCCTCGTGGATCACAAGGAGCTAAGAGACGTTTCACGCGGATCATATTGTCTCGATCACGCGGAGGCCGATAGTATTGCCTGCCGCTCGCATCGGCGGCTCGCGTGATTAGTTAGTGATTGACACGTGAGACGAGCCTCCGCCGTTCTCTTATCAGCGCTTATTCACGAGATCAGTAGATCGACATGGGCAAACATCGAACCGCACGTGCTCAGAATTAACCGCGAATCCACGGGGCGCGACTTAACAACTCAGTTTTATTGCCAATCTTTAATAGTCTGCATGAGACGTACGACTCTCGGTTGCGATCGAATATTTCACTCACGTGCAGGATGATCCATTGCGCAAGATAAGACTTCGTAGAAGCGATTGCGAGTTTCCCTTTTTCGTCGAGAGACGCGTCGCATTTTTATATGCATACGAATTTTGAATTTATGAAAGCGATCTGACAAGGTCATTTGGTGGGATTAATTAAAAAATTAACCGCTCAACAATCGCCGTGTAATTAGATACTCTACGATGCAACAATTAAGGTGTATTCGATATACAATCGCTGTGCATTAGAAATTATTTCCCCGCTGTCTACTTGCCGGAAGGCGCAAGCCACTTGAAAATAATCTTAAGTAGGTAATGTTAAACACAACGTTATCGCCGGGGAATCCCGCGTTTGCCGAATATTTATTAACAGGATTAACTTTATCGAGACACCTGTCACTTCCGGTGTTTTGGATGCTATCGAATATATCGACTTTTGCGTTCGCGCGGCGATAGCCGACGATCGGTTCTCGAATGCGATCGCGGATTATTTTGACCGTGACTTTTGTTCCGAAAACGAAATCGCAAGAAAGTCCGTGTTCACCGGCCGGAAAGAAACTTGGCTATGTGCGTGTCGGGCTTGAAAAATGGTTAGACTACACAGTTCGTTTACTGACGAAAAGAAAAAGGACGGGAACACATCGCGACGCTACACTTTCTCGTCCCTCGACCCGATAAAATTACGAGCGCGCTTTCGCCGCGGAATTTTTTTTTACGACGCGACAAAAGTTTCCGTAAACCACGCCGAGACCGTCAACATTTCCATGAAGCGCGCCGAGATTGTCGTAGACGTAATTTGTATCAGTGTAACTGATAAAACGCGCGGAGTCGCGTTGCACCGAGTTTATTGCGTGAATCACGGAACGATCATAAAGTTGATAAAAATGTAACACAGTGCGGTCTCTGTTGGTCATTTTTATTCAAGATATCGGGCTGGACAATCGCGGGGCATCTCGACAAATAGCAAAGGTACATAAAGTTCATTAAACTAATTCGTCAATTGTAACCGTTGGAAAAATAATGTAATGTTTGAATTCGTAGACGCAACGCCGTTACATAATTAGCTGGACGTTTCGTCACCGAGAACGTGCGCACGCTATCGCGTATACGCGCAATGTATTCAATCTCTTTATCGTCTGCATCATTCAAATTGCTGACAATGTTAAGAACTGGGATTGGCGGAAGTGGAAGGGACAGATTGGTATAACTCGCTACCGGCTCGGTCGTGCCAGTTTGTCGACCCGCGAATGAGGCCGCTGTGATGGGGTCTGTGGGTCACTCGGAGGCCCGTCGATGATGATGACGACGGTGACGGTGGTGACGCGCCGCGAATAAGAGGCTCCGAGAGCGTCGCGAGAGTCATTACCTCGTGAACGAGTCTTCGTGCCGGGAATGAGTTACGATTCCGGTGTGGAGAAGTAGTTCTCGTTAAGAGACAGGAGACGTGTCCACCTCGGAATTTCTGCCCGGCGACTTGGCGAACTCTCGCGCACTGAAAAAAATTTCTGGTTGAATATGGACGAATCAGATAATTCCTTTAGGATTTACCAGAATTCCTTTAGGATTTACCAGAATTCCTGTAATCCTACAGAAATTCTGGTAAATCCTAAAGGAATTCTGGTAAATCCTAAAGGAATTATCTGATTCGTCCATATTCAACCAGAAATTTCCTTTAGGATTTACCAGAATTCCTGTAATCCTACAGAAATTCTGGTAAATCCTAAAGGAATTCTGGTAAATCCTAAAGGAATTATCTGATTCGTCCATATTCAACCAGAAATTTTTTTCAGTGCGTGCACGTTATCGACTTCCCGCGGAACTGGCGCGGCGGCACGTAGAAACCGGCGATTTCCCATAACGCTTTCCCGCACGTTTTCGCTGTGCACCTCCGAGAGGAGCACGTGTCGGGCAACGTCGCTTCAATGAGCCGTCTTTTGTGATATTACATTTCTTCGTATCTTCGCGATTGACTTACAGCCGTGACATTGCAAGGAAATTAATTTGATATCGAATCAGATAATATTATACATAGAACAGGTCGGATTAATCCGCCTGCTCGGTGGAATCTATCTGTCAACCGTCTCGATTTCTTTGATATTCTTGCCCGATAAGTTCCGATTATTAATTATTTATGACAAATATTGACGTAACTGTCTTGATATTTCGTTCAGAATCGATTACGTTCCTAAAATATGCTCGCTATTGATTTATTTAACAGTGTCACAGACACTGCTAACGGAAGAAAAGTTTCGTTAGTCTGGAATGCGTCTCATTTCCATACGCCAATAAGTTTATCTGACTCGATTAACAGTGATCGATTTTTGGGCTACATCACGCGAGATTAATTACATCCGGTGTCATCGCGAGGTCAACGGTCTCGATCGTGTCTAGTACCGCAATTTCAACGGCAGTCGTTAATCAATAACCTTCCTCCTTAGTCTTTCACGTCGAAGATAAATTATTTAAAGAAATGCAAAGGGTCCACTGCCAAAGAACGAAATATTGTAATAGCTATGTTTTTTTTCTCGGGACAAATAGTTGCAAGGTGAATCCTTTTGACAGTATACTGGTTGGCCTTGGCACTACGAATAGATTTGGCGATACGCATCGTTAGCGTCGACCATATCCGCTCAGAACAGACTAATATTTTTTTTAACTTAAATATTATTACTTATCTTCCCTATCGCTCTACTGTTTGTCACAACTGTTCGAAGTTAGCTTGCTTTGCAACACGATTTATTTATGTAGTTTGCGATAAAACGTCTT